AATCTCATACATTCCCAATCTCAACATTTCTAATTCAATTCCTCATTTCTCACAATTAATTTTACAAATTAATTAACCGATGTAATTAGGGTATTTTCCATAATTCACATTCAACCCTTAGGTTCCACTTTCATTAATGTTTTGACATTAATTCCACTTTTCCATGCCAAACATGCATCTAGACTTTTATATAGTTAAAACCCCAACTTTGTAAATTTGCACAAAAGTCCCAAACTTTCACAAAATTACCAAACCAACTCCAACATCTCAAACTACTAAAATTTAAAGACAAAACCCATAGTAAGGAGTAGGTTATCCCTACCTCGAAGTTAGAGCTCGGATGGAGAAGAGACCAAAACCAAAGTGCTCCAAAAGCCAAGATTCTCGGATCAAAACGACGCCCTCGACGATCAACACAACTTTTACAAAGGCCGAAGGAGAGGAAAACACTCTAACTAGATTAAACCCTAGAGAGAAGGGAGTTTCTAGAGAGAGGAGCTCTCAAAACGACTTTTTAGAAAGTAAGAGAGAGAAAGAGAATGGAAAAAGTGATTTGAAAAGCCAAAACACGGAGCTTTAACCCAGTCGCCCCGCTCGAGCGTCACTCACAAACTCCCGCTCGAGCGTTAGCAATCCCGCTCGAGCGGCGGATACGCACCCCTATAACTTTTACAGAACCAGATCTCCGCTCGAGCGTCAACCCTCCCGCTCGAGCGTCACACACAACTTCCCGCTCGAGCGTTGAAACTCCCGCTCGAGCATACAACACTGCAGAGGAGATACTGGAAGATGGAAAACTACGCTCGAGCGTCGAAAACCCCGCTCGAGTGGACAAACAACAACGAAGGGCCCGTTCGAGCGTTGAAATACCCGCTCGAGCGTGATGGTCAAAATCTGGGCAACTACTCTTGGTTTCTAAGTTCAACCAACCTGTTTCAAACTCGCCCAATACAACCCAAGACTCGAATGCAAGGAGTAAAGGATGTAAACAAGACATATACAACAACCAACTCCACGGAACCTAAGTCCGGATACAACAGTTAAAGAAAAGGGAAATCGGGATCGCTATAGGCAGTGCTCCTCTCTCTCTCTCTCTCTCTCTCTCTCTCTCAGTTCTCTCTTAGATTTTTTTTATTATTATTAGTTTTTTTAAAATTATCATGTAAGATCTTTGATCCACCAAAATTTATTAGGTTTTAGACCCTAATCGTTGAGGCCAAAGTGAAGAGCTTGGCAAGAGCAACATTTTGGCCAATGGAGATCAAAATCTTGCAAAGTCAAAAATTGGAGTTTTTGCTTGTTTCTTTTTCTAGCTTTTGAGGTAGGGATTTTCTAAACATCGTGTATGTGTTTTAACTTTATTATGTGTTATTTTGATAGTGTAATGTTTGAAAAGATTAGAATTTTATTAATGGTATATTAAATATATAAAAAGGGGGAAGTTCTCAACATTTTTTGAAAATCTCTTATTAGTTGAGTGTGATTTTTGTAGGACTTATTGAATCTGAGGAACGTATTTTTTTCAAATGAGAAATCCTCAAATTTTAATAAAATCCTAGAAATTTAAAATGTTAAGATTTAGATTTTGAACTAAGTTTGTGAAAAGCTTATAAGTGTTAAAAACATTTGTTTATTTGAACAAATGAGAATTTGAAAGTGGATGTTTAAAGAGATGAGATTGATGATAATGTTGTTGGGAATATTGGAAACCATTGAGGTTCCTTTTGGAAATTATTTAATTTAAAAATATTGAACTCTTGAAAAAGATGAAAATATTTATCATGTTGAGGTATTAAGAAAAGTTGAAAGAAACATATGTTGTTTTTGACATTATAAGATTCTTGGTGAATTCTTGAGTTTGAATAAAAAGGAAGAATTGATAAAATAAAATAAAAAAAAATTGGAAGAATATTATGATTCTTGATTGAGTTAGGAAAGAGGAGATTGAACGTGTGATTGTTACTCATATGTTGAAATTATTGAAAATACGAGATTATGAGTTATATTTGTCTCTTAAAATTTATATTTTGTATAGAGATAATTATTTGGGCAACCGTGGAGGGTTACATTGAATATTGTAGAAATTGCATGTGAAACAGGTAAATTGAAATATTTGCAAATTCATGCATGACATTGAATATTGCATAATCTCATGATTTAATCCTCTCATTGGATTTGAGAAATCGATTTCTTTTTCAAATTGATTCATTGGGAATATTTGAAATGTGTTGAGTTATAGGGTAATACATTTGGTAAGTCCAGATGAGGGGTGTAGATTGGTATTGTTTTAGTTAGCCTAAGTGTCCAGGAAGAAAGACCGAAAACACGCACTGAGTAGGTACCACGTGCCTTTCGATTTGGAACCGGTAAAGGGGAGATTGGTAGTGTTAGTTATACATACTTACATACACCAGCCTAGGGATTACCAGTGTCGTACTTACCGCCTCTTGTTCTATCAAATAGATGATTGAATTGGTTATGTTTTTGAACAAGTATATGGCATGAGAATTTCAAAATGAGAAAACCTATGATTTTGGCATTGGTATCTCATATGCATTGCATCTCATGATATTGTTAAATTGTGTACACTTTATTTAAATTATCTCTGCTAAGCTTTATGCTCATTCCTTAGTGGAAACCATTTTTCAGGCGATTTTGGTGTGCTTTCGCCGAAGTGAAGGCGTGGAGGATCTTTTTGGAGCACAAAGCTCAGTTATTTATTTGTTTCGTTTTGTTTTGTTTTGCAAGCCAAGGGCTATCTATGTATGAGTTTGAAAACCACTTTGTTATAACCGGGCAAAGCCTTGGAACTTGTAACCATTAAGGCATTAATTTGTATATTGTTGCTTTACCTTGTTATTGTCACATGCTATAAATTTATATCTTAGGGTTGATGAATGTATTAATGCATGTGGTCTCTCTTTTGTGAAATCTCATGTTGGATATCGTTAATGGAAAAATGGAGATTTAGTATGAATATTGACTATTGAAATGTCCATATTATTCAATGTTCTTGTATGCAATAATGAAAAGTAATGGGATTTAGATTATGTCTATGAGCTAATCTAGATATATCGGATGCCAATATTTTTGGGAGCACTACACATTCTTAGAATAAGACCTAGAAGCATAGACATTATTGGAATAAGCCCTGATAAGGTTAGGCATTTTGGAATAAGTACTAACATTCACTAGGCATTTTCTAAGGCCTAACATTCGCTAGGCACACAATGATTAGTAGATGCTCGTATATGAGATTAGGAAGATGTTTTGTTAAATCTCATATTTTTGAGGTATTAATATTTCGTAAGAGGTATTAGTGATTTATAATAACTTGGTGGTGTGATTTTTAGATGATAATCTAGTTTACTCCCTTATATTTATTTTATCTATTTTATTTTCATCTCATCATTAATAATATTTAGTTCATCTCTTTTTAAAATAAATTTTCTATCCTATTTACTATATTTCTTCCTTACTAAGAAAAACATACACACACACCAAAAAAAAAAAAATGGCCAACCACCCCCATCCTTTCCCATACCTATTGATCTTTGATTAATAGGCAACACATGCCATACCGTGCCATGTTTCTCCTCCTTCATTTGCATGTCCTTTTTATTTTATTTTATTTTTTCTTTTCCTTGCCCCCAAGTTTTCTTCATTATAAATTGACGAAAGTTTATTCTTTCATCCCTTTTATGCTTCGTCATTCTCTCTCCCTCTCTTTGTCCGTTTCATCTCTCTCAATTTGTTCTCTTTCTTCTCCGTTTGTAATATAACTTTGAGTTTAATTTGAGAGTGTTTAGAATGAGAGTAATTAATTTTATTCAGAGGAAAGTTATAGATTTTGCCAAACCTTGTATACCTTGTGCATTAAAATTTTAATCTGCTACATTTGGAGATCTATGGTGAAACATCAGATGATTAAAGTGTTGGTGACAGAAGAATTGATTTGAGGTAACTATGTGTTATACAATATGCTTTCTTTTAAATCACTTTGTAAAGAGTTTCATTGTGATTACTTCTTATTTGTACTCCTCTTAATTATTCTGGTCATTTTATAAATTCTGTGAAATTATTCGTTATTGATTCTTTTGATTATTTCAATCATTTGATAAAATTCTATGAAGTTATCCTGTGTTGACAATGTTGATTTGTCTGACTAAATGATGTGGAAATGCTCCGTAAGACAGAATAATTTCTGAGTAAGGAATTTGCGCCCTTTATTATTGTCATGTGACTTTTCATTTTTTCAAGGTAATTATTATTCAATTGTCTTAGAATCATGTGGCATTACTGCGTGGCACTCTAAATGTAATTGAAAATTCCATAGATAAGACATACTAACTCACCTTTTTTAGGTAGTTAAAAAATCAAAGATAAATAATGTCAAATGATACTCCAAGAACATCTAATAATTATTATTGTTATCATTTTAAACATCATTACATGACTTTTCTTGTTCCATTTTCTTTGTCAATGTCAATAGCTCATTTAATAAAAGAGACTTGTGAAATGTGGACAAACAATAAAGTTATCAAAAACAAGTTGATCAACTACCCCATTCAATACCACCGGGGTTCATGGCTAAGTGGAGAATGCAATTCTCTCTACAGGAATGATCCATGTTTGAATTTTGAGGGTGTGAAAAATGGTTGATTTTGAGTTGGCTCTCTTTGAGATTTTGCATTGTTTTGATCGATTCTGGGCTCTTTTGTGGCGTGTGGCTGAATTCCATTGGTGCCTCGGTATTGGATTCCTTTCTATGTATTTGGGTTAAATCTGACCAACAACTGACTATCCTAGGGCCAAGCCTTGCGGATGCAATGACGACACCACAGAGCATCCTTATTACTGTTAAAAAAAAAAGAAAAAAAAAAAAAAAAACCTACCTCTTTCAATGCGGACAAGTTAGAATTTGTAGGTTATTTAATTGTAACAAAACAAACTAAAAGCTAACTTTTCATTGCCACAAAGAAGAAAAAACGAAAGAAAAAATGGCATTTCCGCCTTCAACTTCAAGGATTGGTTTTGGGCTGTTACAATTATGTTACTTGTGGAGTGGCATATATCTCATAGTCACTACCACCTCCACGAATACCTTTGTTGGGAATGAGACTGATCGCCTTGCATTGCTCGCCTTCAAAACAAACATAACACAAGACCCTCATGGGGTTATGAACTCATGGAACAATTCGTACCATTTCTGTGAGTGGAAATGTGTTAGATGCGGTCACCGGCACAAGAGAGTCACCATTATAGACTTATAATCTAGAGATCTAGTTGGTTCCTTGTCTCCTCACATTGGGAATCTCAGCTCCCTTCACAAGTTGAGGCTCAATAACGGCACTTTTCGGGGTGAAATCCCTACTAAAATTGTAAATCTGTTCAGGTTGCCAAAAACTAACCTGAGCACAAACAATTTTGAAGGAGAAATTCCAGCCAACCTTTCTCGCTGCTCAAACATCACATACCTTGGTGTAGGTTCCAACAATCTAGTAGGAAAATTCCCCGAAGAGCTTACTTCATTATCAAAGCCCATATACCTAGGAATTCACTTGAACAATTTGACAAGAGGTATTCCTCCGTTCATTGGGAATCTTACTTCTCTCGTAAGAATTACTGTGGCTTATAATCCTTTTGGTGGAAGTATTCCAGATACCTTGGGACAAATGAAAAAACTAAGTTTCCTTGGATTGGATGTCACTCAACTCTCTGGTATGATCCCTTCTTCCATTTATAACCTCTCCTTGCTAACTATTTTTTTTTTTTTTTTTGTCCCTGATAACCAACTTCACGGTAGTCCCCCATCTTCAAATCCTCCAGCTATATGGTAACCAATTTACTAGACATGTTCCACTTTCAATATCCAATTCTTTAGAACTAGTAAGTTTTGATGTGGAAGAAAACAACTTCAATGGGAAAATAACAAATGATTTTGGAAGCCTACAAAATCTCAGGGAGATATAACTATATCAGATAACCATTTTAGAAGCGAGGAACTTGATGAACTAGCCTTTCTTGGTTCTTTGGTCAATTGTAGCAATTTGGAAAAGTTGAGTATGGAGAAAAATCAATTCAGAGGGGTATTATTACCAGATTCTGTGGGCTATTTGTCAGGCCATCTCTTTTTCTTTTTTTTTTTAAGGCTTGATGAAACCAAATCTATGGAACTATTCCTTCAACAATAGGTAATCTTGTCAACTTGGCTTTGTTAGGTATGGACAACAACCATATCACTGGCGAAATTCCCCCTAGCATTGGTAATCTTCAGAAGTTCCAAAGGTTGAGTTTTGACTATAACAAGCTCTTGGGAAAAATTCCAAGTTCCATTTGAAAGTTGTCATTGTTGACTGAACTTTACTTGGCGGGCAACAGAATAGAGGGGACCACACCCTCAAGTCTTGGTAACTGCCAAAATTTGTTGTTGCTGCACTTATTTCAAAATAACTTGAGTGGCACCATTCCTGGAGAACTCTTGAGAATCTCATCTTTATCAATTTCATTAAATCTAGCTCAGAACCGTTTGTTTGGTTCCTTGTTTGCTGGCGCTGGAAACCTCAAAAATTTAATGGAATTGGATATTTTTGAAAATGGGTTGTTTGATGAAATTCCTAGCAGTCTTGGCAGTTGTACTAGCCTTGAAAACCTATACTTGCATGAAAATTTCTACCAATGATCTATTCCTCTTTCATTAGAAACTTTGAGAGGGATTGCAAACTTTGATCTTTCTCATAACAACTTTCCTGGCAAAATTCCAACATTCTTAGAAAAATTTGCCCTACAAAAACTCAATTTTTCATTCAATGATTTTGAGGGTGAGGTACCAATGAAAGGAGTTTTCACAAATGCGAGTGCAATATCAATTATTGGAAATTACAGACTTTGTGGTGGTATTTCTGAATTACAACTACCCAACTGCATCACCCAAAAATCAAAGCATAAGATGTCTCTTTCACATATATTACCAATTACAGTAGCTTTTGTACTTGTATGAGGAACCCTAGTGTCTCTCTATATAATTTATTGCTTCAAGAAGAAAAGAACAACTCATAATACAATTCCAGTATTGAAAGAATTGTTCTTGACAATCTCTTATGAAAAACTCTTCAAAGCAACAGATGGTTTCTCTTCCGCGAATCTGATTGGTTTTGGTAGTTTTGGCTTTGTATATAAAGGGATTCTTGATCAAGATGGGGAATTTGTCGCTGCTGTCAAAGTACTTAACCTTCAAAACCATGGAGCTGCAAAGAGTTTCATGGCAGAGTGCGAAACTTTGAGAAATATTCGACACCGAAACCTGGTCAGGATCATAACTTCTTGTTCTAGTGTTGATTTTCAAGGAAATGAGTTTAAAGCTCTAGTTTATGAGTTCATGCCTAATGGGAGTCTAGAGGGATGGCTACATTCAAGTCCAAAAACTAATAATGGGCAAAATGAGCACCGGAGACTCAACCTTCTAGAAAGAATAAACATTGCCATAGATGTGGCTTATGCACTTGATTATCTTCATCACCAATGCCATACACCGATCATTCATTGTGATTTGAAGCCAAGTAATATCCTTATTGATCATGACATGGTTGCCCGTGTTGGAGATTTTGGTCTAGCTAGATTTTGCCCAGAGCTTACCATTCCTAATCAAAGTAGTTCAATTGAAATAAGGGGATCCATTGGATATGTACCTCCTGGTAACAAATTCTCTTTACCCTTCTTTTACTTTGACATATGCCTATTCTAGGATGAAAATTTAAAGCTTCAAACAAAATATAAGTTAACTATCATTGAAGGAATGTTAAATGGGTACTGATCTATCTACTTCTCAAGATGGGGAATTTTGCATGGTTACCTTAAGACCTAGTCCATAGCTAGTCAACTGTTAGTCATAGAATTAATAAATGGCTATGCTTTCCATTGCTAATACTGGGAATATGTATAATGCACTGCTTTCATATTATTATTTTGACATTCTCATATACCAGATTTGATTGTTCCTTTTTTTCTTTTATAACATTTTTGTTTTTAGGCAAAACAAATTGTTAGGGGTTTTCAATGTGAATTGCTTTAATGGCAGAGTATGGTCTTGGAACTGAGATGTCCACTTATGGAGATGTCTACAGTTATGGGATCCTATTATTGGATATAATAACAGGGAAGAGACCCACTGATAGCATGTTTGAGGAAGGCCTTAATCTTCATAGCTTTTCTAGGATGGCCTTTCCTAACCGTGTGATAGGAGATTGTAGACCCGGAGCTCCTAGACAATGATGAAGAAGAGGCAGGAGCAACAACAGCAGCTACTGCTGTTGCTTCCAGTACTTGGGAATCAATTCAAGTGAACAATGGTGACAAAATGGTGGAATGTCTAATTTCCATGGTCCATATAGGAGTGGCATGCTCTACAGAGTCACCGCAAGGTCGAATGAGCATAAGTAATATCCTTCATGAACATCATTTGGTCAAGAACAAAGTCCTTCAAGATGAACTTTCTACAAGGTATGAAAGTGAAACGGTCTTGCTCAATATTTTTAACTTCTTTCTTCTATAGAATTACACCTATCGTTTTATCGCATTGGCTTTGATCCTCCATGATTTGTCCTTGTTAACAGGAAGCCGCAAAGAAAATTGGACAACGGTGGGAGCAAGCATGGCATGCCTTCTATTGTGAGATTTCAAATTAGTTTGGCCTCTTCCAGTCAAATAGAATTCATGACTATTAACCAGAATAGTATGACAGTGACATTTTTTAAAATCTAATCCATTTTGATTGAATTTTTTCTTTAAATTAATAAAATCAACAGTTGTCATGTCTTTTTGTAGTAAATTAATTACATTTTTTTCTTTGTATAGTATTACTCTAAAAATATTGGCAACCATGCCCTTCTGTGGGTATTCTAAAATACTAAATTTGATTAACGGTGATTTAAATAATCAATAATGCCATTATGTGCTTAAACTGAATGAATTATGTTAGCACCAGGAACTAATCTAGATTAAAACTTGTTATATCATTCTATATTAATTTTTGTTTGAATAGCATTACTCTAAAAATATTGGCCACCATGCCCTTGTGTGGGTATTCTAAAAGATTCAATGTGATTATTTTATGTGTTTGAACTTCATGAATTATGTTAACCCCCTGAACCAATCTAGAATGAGTCGACGGTGAGGCGACTAAGGGGACCGCAGACGACGAAGCCAAGGTCGTCGAAGGAGAGATTTTTTTCATCCTCTTCTCTACTGTAATTGATATATATATATATATATATAAAGAGAGAGAGAGAGAGAGAGAGAGAGAGAGAGAGAGAGTGCAGATGAAAGAGATGACGAGAGATGATGATGATAGATTTTGGGGTTTGCTATAGGGAGGTTGCCGGAAAAGACGTCACTACCAACGGTGAAAGGCTGCCAGCGGTAGGAAAAGATTATCAGAAGATGAATTGGGGGTTCAAAAAGAGGGGTATTGTGGGATTAAGGTGGAGGTTCAAAGAGAAAATGGGTGGGACTCAATTAAGTGGTCAGGGGTTCAAAGAAGTGGGGTCCAAAGAAATTAGGTAAATGCTAATAGTAATCCTTTTTTTTTTTCTAGTCTCTGCAATTTGTATTATTTTTTATCACTTGATTGGTTTCTTCTTTGTTTCTGCTATGCCTTTTTTTGTTCAATTTGATTTTTTATTATTTGTTTGTTTTGGCTGTTATGTGAGATAATGTGAAAAGTCTGGTATTTCTGCTTGTTTATTGATTGGAGTCAGTGGGGGACATTTTCTTAGACTTTTGAGGCCTAAATAGTGTTCTACCTCAAAGATATCTGACCAAATATGTATTTTTCCTTTTCTTGAAAAAATAATTGGAAAATAGATAAATGGACCCGAGGCTGTGATTTGTGTTGTAGCTTCCCAGATTCCTAATCTTGGTGAAAGTGTGATAGATGCTTCCCTCCAAGAGAAAAGAAGGATTCCGATGGGTAGGTGACCAACACAAATTATCTTTTCAATTCTTTATTTTTTACCGGGTATCCATCTTTTTTTAGTATGTGTGAGAAGTGAAGTTAGTTCTTTATGCCATGTGGCCTGGTATAACACTGGGAAGATTGTTGTTTAGCAACTTAACTCTCTCTCTCTCTCTCTCTGCTGTTGTTCTGTTTCGGATTTTAATTCACTGCTGCTGACATCTGTTGCTGGTTTGATTTTGCAGCTGAACAATGATGTTGTTAATGTCATCAACATATCTATCGGAAGTATTTTGGCAGTCATGATGCAGCAAATTGTACTCCAAAATTGGTATAAATTTTTGGCGACTAAAAATTTTAGTCAGTAAAAATTTTCAGCTACTAAAAATGGACTTTTGGCGAGTAAAAATTTAGTCGCCAAAACTGCCATTTGTTGTACTGTTCCATCAGTTTTTTATAGAAAAAATTAACCTTCAAACAATAATTGTTCGGCATTTATAATGGTTTATAAAATAGTGTAGTGATCCTCTTAACATTTGTTTTGATCCTCCATGGTTTGTCCTTGTTAACAGGACAATGCATAGATAATTGGACGATAACGGGGAGCAAGCAAGGCATGTTTTCTAGTGTGAGATTTCAGATGAGCTTATTCTTTTCCAATCAAAAAATATCAATTGTAAACAATCCAATTTTTTTTTTTTTATTTGTATAGCATTATTCTAAAAATATTGGCCACCATGCTTCTATAAGTAATCTAACATACTATTGATGGTGATTCAAATAATCAATAATGCTTTTGTGTGCTTGAACTGCATGAATTATGTTAGCACCCAAAATCAACATTGAATGAGTTCATATTTATTCCCTTGATATCTCATTTTTGCTTTACGGTAATTAAATTACAGGACAACGAAGCTTGATGCTTGTCAAAGCTGTGAGAAATGGTGGAACAACACTCATTCAAGAAGGAAGAGGATTGTGATTGTACTTTTATCTTCCCGCATTATTTCCCATTTAGTCCATATGAGAATGGTAATGTAATGCACTTGTGTGATATGAGTTCATGTAACCATAAAAGGGTAAAAGAATACCATGCAACCAAATAATGGAAACTTGATAATAAATAAATAAATAAACAAAAAAAAAAAAAAAAAAACAACAACGAGAATTGCAACCACAAGATTAACATTACCATCATATTCTCAAAATACAAGATAATTAGACAAGTAGTTCAAAAGTTCGAGACTTTTTAAAAATAAATAAATATATGTAAATTAAGCAAAGTCTTAATGGTTGCACATGCATTATTTTTTGTACCAGCCAAAAAAGTAAAGAAAATAGGGAAGATTTTTGGTGCGTAAATTAAACTATTAATATCTAAAATTTAATCCAAGTATCACTTTAATTTTTGTAATTTTAATTTGAATAATTTATATTTTATATTTTTAATTTTGTCACAGTATTGTCCTGTTAGAATTTTTTACATGCAAAATTATAACAGCCTCAATGAACCCTATAAATATACTACATATTTTTAATTATATTAAGCTTTTTTAGTTTTTGCACGGAATTTTTTTTTATTTATTTAAAATATTAAGAAAATGTAATGGCAAGGACGGAAGTAAAATTTTGCTCAAATTAAAGGGAACCAATCATGTAATTTTACCTATTTTTGGTTTGACGAGATCTGATGGTAATGCAATGGTGGCAATATGGTCGTTCGACGATTGCAGTGGTTCAATGATGGCTGAATCAGATCTGGGTTACGGTCATGGTGGCTGAATGATGGTCGACAATGGTTGGATGGTGGTGGTGGTGGTGGCAGCGGCAGATGAGCTGTTGGTTGGTGGCTCTCTACAATTGTGATGGGGAAAAGGACGAAGGTAATAAAATGGGGAAAAATGGGAAGGGATTGGTTTATTATTGTTTCAGTCTAAACACAGACCAACCAGTGTAAGATTTTGGAGAAATTCTAACTTCTTTCCCATAATTGTAAGTGAATAAATCAAAAGAGAATTGTAGTTTATTTATTTATTTATTTATTTATTTTTTAAAAAAGAGTAAATTATATCGTTTCCTTTATTTTGAACAAAATTTACTTTAGTCATCGTAATTTTAATTTGAATAATTTAATTTCTACATTTTGAATTTTATTGTATTGTGATCCATCTGGCATGTGTTGTTAACATTTGAATGGAAAAATTATGTGTAAAATTAGATGGATTAAAGTGAAATTTCAAACAAACTAAAGGGAATATTGGTCTTTGGTCGCACTAGTTTTACACCTGGTCTTTTTAATTTCAAATTTTTATAGTAAATGATGGAGGAATCACATTTATAACAAAATTAAAAGTATATAGATGAAATTATTAAAATTAAAATTAAAAGTGATATGAATGTAATTTAGCATAAAAATATATAGGTCAACTTATGCAAATGGTCCCTATAATTTACTCATTTTATCAATTTGATCCATGTTTTTTCAATTTGATCAATTTTGCCTCCGAATTTTACGGATTGTGTCATATTAGTCCAATAAATAACGGAGGTTAAGTTTGATGGATAGAAAATCAAATGAGGTATCAATTTGGTCTCTGTAATTTATAGGATGTGTCAATTTGGTCTCTGTAGTTTATAGGAAAGTCAAAACAACAGGGACTAAATTGACACATTCTGTAAACTACAGGGACCAAATTGACACACCATTTTATTTTCCATCCATTAGAGTTAACCACCGTTATTTATTGGACTAATATGACACAATCCGTAAAATTCAAGGACAAAATTGATCAAATTGAAACAACAGGGACCAAAATGATAAAACAGGTAAACTATAGGGATTACCGCTGTAATTTGCCCAAATGTATATATAGAATTGCAAGTGTAAAATGCACCGGAGTTCATTAGTTTCCAACAGCATAGTGCGTCTCTTATGTTTTGCACAAATAATC